AAACCAAAACTTACACCAAAACGAAGACAAACCCGAAGCCGCCAAATAGAAACTGTAGAGCCGGGATGTTGGTTGGCAATCCCAAAACCTAAAAGCAGACCTTGGTCTGCAAACCCCGCACCCTAAAATGGTAGGACATTGGTTTTCAAAATCCTAAACCCTAAACCCTAAGACATGTTGGTTGGTGAACCCTAAGCCCTAAACCCTGAAAGGAGACCCTAAACTCTACAACGCATATGTTGCTAGGCAAACCTCAACCAAACCCAATTAAAACGGATATATGCTGGGTGGCAAACCCCAACCCCTACAAACCCTGAAGGCGAAACCTAAACCCTAAGATTCTGCTTGGCAAGCTCCGCCCTCAAAAGAAGATCTTGCCACTCAAACCCCAAACCCTTCAAAGAACTGTCCTTGCCCGGGCGGGTGTGGGCGGAACACCCCTCCCGAGCAAAGTACTGGGAGGGGGAGGAGCAGGAGCAGCAGCAGCAGTAATGGTTGCAGCGGACAGAAGCGGCGACGACTTCTACTTGGTCCAAGTGGCGCCGCCCAGGTTTCCATCCTTGGCGAAAACGCAGGCTGTGTTTCGTGAGGGAGCGGTGGCTACTCACTACTGAATCTTGTCCAACCGGCACGAGACGAAGGCGTCATGTGAGCCATGCAGGGGCAAGAAAGTATCACCTTCAACTGAGATGTGCACGAAAAGATCCATGACGACCTTGTAGAAGTGTAGTCTCGAATTGAAAATGGCCTGCTGCAGGCATGCGGCATGCGGTGGTCGGGCAGTTGACTTCACTTTCTCAGTCAAGAACCCCGGTTCGATCACAGGGACAGGGACTAGACAATCTGGTCATCTCAACCCTCTAGGTTGTTCTGGCCATCCATGACACTGCTTTGATCCCGCAGAACGCATCACAACGAACCACCTCCCCATGCATTTTCAACGTCTCATCCTTCGACTCGAAGTACAGGTCCTGGGCTCTGCGACAGATCAGACGATGGATACCACCATGGACGAAAATCGCAAGAAGGGAGAGGAGCTAGCAACGGCGCTGTTCAAAAGCGCAGGCGCATGCAGGTCTTTCGTGAACCTCCAGAAAGACGAATGCTAATTGCGACCACAGCAGCATGTCGAGCCTTTCAGGGGCACTAGTCACTAGCTCTCTGGAACGTGAGTAGGGGAAACATGGGGAAACGTATGAAAAGGGCGCGTAACTCTGGTGCTGAAGGCTTTCTGAAAGGCCCCAGTCGTGTACTCACGAATGCCTGCCTTTGTCCATTTTCGCCACTGCTCGCTGAGATCCACCACTCGTATGTCCACAAAACCGGCCGCATGCAAGTCGGCGACATACCTTGGTCCATTGAACCCTGCGACGTGCGAAAGTCGCGAGAGCTTCGACCTAAAAGCACTCCCGCAAGAAACAGCACGACATGCTGATGACTCAAATTCAACCTCAGAATCACACGATACCATCATCTTGTCTCCACTATTCTCGACTGCTGCAAGGCTGCTGTTCTGGCGTTGTGACCTCAGGAAGAACCAGCACATCACAAGATAAGAGTTCACATAGAAATTGCGACAGCGCAATGACAAACCTCACGATCATGGACTGCAGATAGACCGAGGAACTGTGGGCGCGGAGACAACATCCAGCAAGGAAGATCGCTCCAGCTCAGTGAAGTTCTTGCCTTCCGGGGCATCAACTTCCAGCAAGCTAAACTTTCATGACAAGAGAATGCGAAAGAACCAGGGGACGGAAGTATAGCAGCTCCAGCTGTCGTCAACGTCTTCGTCCAGGTCGTAGCCGTAGTCGTCGTCATCGTCATCGTCATGGTCGTCGCCGTCGCCTCGTCCGAGTCGCAGTCGGGGTGTCGTCGTCGTGGTAGTACATACAAGTAGAAGCGGAAGCAGAAGCAGCAGCAGCAGCAGCAGCAGCAGCAGCAGCAGTAGTCGTCGCATTCGTCGTCCTCCTCCTCGTCGCAGTGTTAGTGGAAGTGGTAGTGGTAGCAGTGGCAGTCGTAGTGGTAGTGGTAAGGTGGTGGAGTAGTAGTGGTCGTCGACGTCGTCGTAGCCGTAGTGGGCTAGTACTAGTACGTCTGCGAGTACTAGTACCAGTAGTGCTGGTACCGGCAGTAGAAGTAGCAGTAGCAGTAGTAGCAGTAGTAGCAGTAGAGGCAGTAGTAGCGTGCGAGACATCAAGTCGAATGGAGAACAGACAGCCAATGCTCCCTCACTTATTTGTTCAGCTTCAGCTTCTTCATTCCCATCCTCCTTTCAAGGCACACCCTTCGTTGCGGCCTGGCCTGGCTTGGCCGCGAAGTCTTCAATGAGAAACGTACCACCAGGCTTCGTGGCATTATGGCACGCCTGTCGCCACACATGGTTGAACCCCATATATAGTTGCAGATAACTAGCAGGCACATGCGGCGATGTGCGAGAATATACCTCTGAATCAACCTCTCTACAGAGCAGCAATCATAATAAATATACAAACAAGTAAAATGTAGTATTTATGAGTATTCATGCAGAATGCACACTGCTTGTGAACCTGCTTCAGCCAGGAAAACTCTCTGAGAAGAATTCATCATTCCCGCTTGACCCATGCGACATACGACTACGACCTGCAAACACGAGTCCAGCTCGTGGTCGCGGATATGATCCGCATCAAGTCCAGGCATGTGCCGAAGAAAAACAACAAACCGCGCTGTGGTTTCAAGATGGAAACGAACCTCGCATAGCATTTAGTTTGTCGCCGGCATCGACGGCTTGCAGCATCGGGCGCACTAGGAAGGGCCCAAACGTCTCGCAGACCAGATTGGGGCCTTTACTTCTCCAAGAAGAAGCCCACAAAAAAAGTTAGACTCGGCAGTTCCCCACGGGAAACGGAGCCTGAAGGAGTCCTGCTCGATCAGGGATGTGCCTCGGTGAAACTCGGGGGCTGAACCTCGAGGCGGAGATCTTACTGCCAAGGTCCTTCTTACGGTGTTTCGAGGTTACGAGGGCCTTGCGATGAGCTCTTCTAGACTCACAGCTCACCGCCACATGCGGTCGCCAAGGCAAGGTGCAAGAACACGAGGAGTGACCTTGGCGACAGCAGGAGGCCCTTTGCGCGAACTGCACGGTTGAGGCTGCACTGTATGCCCATGTACTTATCTAAGAACTAACACCCAGACGGGAACAGCACCCGCTGTCAACCACTCAATCACAACACAACATGCTGCACCTCCAATGTGCGAAGGATAACAGCACTCAACGACGAGTATCACACTTCTCTGTCCTGCATACTGCCCCGCTACAATCACTACAACTCTGGGCTGCCGGCAGGAAGTGGTCGAAGGTCTCGTCCGGGATCTCCTTGGTCTTCGACAGCGTAATGATGTCTCCGACCTGGCAATCAGGACGGAGCAAGAAAGGCCTAGGGTTGGAAAGGCTTGCTCAACGCAGCACCGCTCAATGCATGCTCTGCTCTCGACAGGAACCAATTCCCAGGATCGGGTCAGATCCACGTCCCAAGCACTCAGTTTCACAGCACTCTCAGTTTCTGCAATCGAGAACATGCATGAGCGTCCATGAAGTTGACCCTGTCCGCAAGCCCGGGTACTCGCTCGGTCAGCTCCTCAGGACAAGGGAGTCTTTTGCTTGTGCCACCGCTCGAAGCATGGAGCTCGTAAAGCCGGCATAGCATAGGCTTGGCCAGTCAGCGTCGTTTACTGCATGGCTTACATGGGACCACTCACTCAATTTCAGAAGCGCCTGCGGATCTTGGGGAACTAGTTGGGGCCAAAAGTCTGCACATGTAGAACTCTGCGCGCGGACGTAAACCCTTAACTTTCGACACTGACCGCCAACCTGCCCGGCACGGCAGATGTCTGGCTGCAGCTCGACACCCGTCAACCGGCACCCGGTCTTGCTGGCGATATACCTGGACTTCGTGGTTTGAGTTGTCTTCCACTAGCCCGAGGGGACAGGCGGGATGGGGGCCTTCTACGGGATTGCAGAAAGATGCCCCTAAACCCCTAAACCCTAAACCCTCCGCCGTGGCTTCTGAATCCGAGACCGTGATTGGCTCCCCTAGTCCTCAAAGCTGTGGCCATGGCCTCGCAGGACCACCGATGCCAGAGCCAACATCCAGGCAATGCACCGTGTTATCAATTCCTGGCACTGCACAAGAAAACGCAGACGTATGCAGGTGTCACTGGATGTCACGGTGGAGGGCCCCAAATGGGAGATTCCATGGCGTGTCTACTTGCAGGATTTAGGGTTGTTGGCGTCTTTACATCCTGTTCTACACAGCACTTCCGATCCCCTGAGAAGGCTACTGCAAGCCGTGGAAGCGTGCAGAGAATTGCCTCAGCTTCAGCCGACAGTCTGAGCACCCGGCCGAGCAATTCGATGACGTGGTCGTTAGCCTGCCCAGGCTGTGACACATGTGGGCCAATCTCCTGTGCCCTCCGCCGCTGCTTAGACTACTCCGCAATCCGCCACAACCTACTGCAACAGGTCTCAGAGCCCGGTTTGCTGAAGCTGTGCTAGCGTGACTGGAGTCGCACACCTTCATGGCTGCTCTAGAATCTCAGGAACCTTAGTCCGACCGATGGCTTTTGCCAGAGTTCGCAGCTGCAGGTCTACGTGGCGGATAGTCTGGCCAGTCGAACACAATCGACGTTCGGATGTTGCCTGTATACCACCGTAGTGATACTGATCCAGGTGTCCGAGAGCTGTCAGATCCGTCACGTGCAAAGCCTCACGGCAGTCAACTGCAAGCTTTCAGTCTCCTCTGCAACGAGAGCGGCCCTAGCTTAAGCGGAACATAGCGGAACCTGCAGTGCACGATGTCTCTGTCGTTTGGGTTCTCTTTCCAAGGAGCTCCAGTCTCTTTTCCCATCTCCTTCAAGGCGTTGTGCACAGCCGCAACCCTCCAGTTGTACATCGCCTGGCATTGTCTGTGTGACTCTTCAATTCGGTCGCTCGGATATGCAGCTGTCGGCCGAGCCTCGGTCATCCCGCCCCGGTCCGTTGTCATCGTGTTGTAGCGCACACTGGTGCGCAGGTGCCCTGCCTCGGCTCTGGAAAGAAGTCCAGAGGAAGCACCTTGACCTCGGCCTCACGTCCACACCTCCTGACACGCTTGAACCACCTCAAAACCCTCCGGTTCCCAACTCTTGATTCAGGGCAAGAAGCGCAAGCCCGGCATGTGGAGGGTCTGACTAGGCGCGATGGCCTCGCCGAGACCAGGCAACTCTCGGCTTCATCGACTAATTGGCTTTGGGGGGGCGATGTTGTACGACGGACAAGAAAGCATTCTGAGCATTCACTGCCAGTCGTGTTTTATTTCCGACACTGGTACCTCTGCTTCGGTGATGGATTGGGTCGGGCATCTCGATTGAGGCAGGGGTCGATATTTGCATGCGTCAGCCATTGTCATGCAAATGGTGTACTTTTGTTCTGAGATGTTCTGATGAGGCTTCCTTATGCCCACTATCCCTGCGCACGAGTTCAGGCAAAGTTGCAATGCCAGCTGCCGACATGCAGAGGCCATGCAAGCCATGCCGTGGAAGAGGTCGCAGAAGCTTATGACTTGAAACTGTTTCAGCTTAAACAGAAACGACGGGATCCTTGCAGCTGCAAAAGGAGGGGATGGTTGGCAGGAGATTCTCAAAACCGGCTTGGACAAAAGCTGCCACTAGGGGCAAGGTTTCATCAAAAGCTTCGTGGAGCCCGCGGCAGCGGCAGCAAGGAGCAGTCACGACCTGGGGACCATCCCCTATTTGGAATGGAGCGCAGACGGTTTATATAAAGCCTGAAGAGACCAGCGAAAACTGCCAAGGCCCCGCACCCACTCGGGCTCCTGGAAGCGCGAATCCTGGTGCCTGGAGGAGAAAGTCGCTGTTCCCCCAAACCCACAACCTCTGCCCAGTTGCCCTGCCTGAGCTGTTCAGCCAGGGTGGACTTCCCGCAGCCCCGCGGCCCCGTTATCAGCAGGACTGGCACCACCTCGGTGCAGCAAAGCCAAGGCTGGAGAGGCGTCGCAAGAACCTTCAAAAATAAACGCAAAACTCGGGGCACATCTGGATATCGTTCGACAAAAAACTAAGCGCATGGTATCCTGCAAGAGGCACCTCAACAGGTACCTTCGCTGCCGCAGGAGCCTTGCTGGGCACCTTCATCAGCCAACGGCACAAGTCGAAGCGTCATGGGAATCAAGCTTCATGTCCATAGCTGGCATAGCTGCTGGAATCTGTCTGGTGGATTTGCTTCTTGAGCTGTACTCAACTGTACTCTGCACAATCGGTTTGCTTGTCGTCTGATGGCACTTGTTGCCAAAATCATGCAATCAAGAAGATGCTGCACCACAATCACTACAACGTAGTGGCACTGTCCTGCATGGCGATCACCCCAGGCACCTGGTCTGCCAACTGCAGCGCCACGCCCAGCGAGCCCGGCACAGCCTTGACCAGGGTTCGTGCCTGCACCGAGCGGCACGGTGATAAGGGCGAGTACTCAGGGAGCAAGACTTGAATCTGAATGCGCCCAGATAGAACATGGGGTCCGAAGTTCGACATGGCAGCCCGAAGGTCCTCGTCCCAGTCCCAACCACGACCCTCTGCCACCAAGGTGGAAGTCTCTCCGAGCCAGCCTCTGGCAGGGTCTCGAAGAGCCCTCGCCTGGATGCACTACCGCACCAACTCACCCCACAATTTATTGTCTTCAGGCCCGCATCTCGGCATGTCTGTAAAACTTGAGTCAGCCCCCGCTGCCAAGGACCGTAAAGCTCCGAGCGAAATGTTGACCCCGACGTGCAGCTGATGCTGGAGACCGAGGCGATGGCAGCGGAAGCACTGCCGAAGAGACCACGTAGCCTTGCAGGATCCGCTGCTTGCCATGTACGGAGTCCCAAACACTTATGCAAACGGGACTCGATGTGGAAGTCTAGATCTCAGAATTCCTCACATGCAAACCATGTTAGGATAACACTCACGGCAGGGTCGAGCCTGCAAGGTCCCAAGTCAGCTCAAACCAAAGGTCATCTTGCCTGGGTTAAGTCCCTAAACCCTAAACCGGGTTAAGTTTCATGATAGGGCCACCCTATGGAATGTCCGAGCGCCTACCAGGGCTGCGAACAGGGATGAGCGTGAGGCGACCACACCTGCAAGGCAGTGCGAAGTCTTCAGCAAGGTCCACGGGCTGGCGGTGATTTAGGTGCTGACCACAAACTCATCCTACAGTCTTTCACAGCTCTGATAACTGCTCTACTGCTTCGTAAGACTCTCCACTCCACCCGCCACCGAAACCCATACGGAGGAAGCACAGGAAGCCACACTGAGCCCTTATATGACTCAATTAGATCAACTATGGGGGACTTCGGTCTACTACCTTGTGAAGAACTTATTTCTATATGCAAATAAAGATGTCTCTGTATATCTGTACGGCCCGGAACAAATCAGTGAGGACTATGATCGTCACTGCTGTGAGATAGATCAGACAGCGACGCACATCTTCCTGACCGTGTTGCCTGCAGTTGTTGCTCGAAGGAAGCCCCCCTTCAAAGGCTTCAGATTCCGGGCATCTCGTAGCCCCCACCCGAGCCTGCGCACCCTTCAGAAGATTCCTTTCAAAAAGACCCCTTTGAGAGCGCCGCCTGTGAAATTCACTCCCGGCTCCCAGGCAAGCCGCTCCAGCCACTGGGCAAAAGCTGTGAGGACCCGACCGAATAAAAGAGACAGCTTCGATTCCTCAAAAGCTGCTCACATAGTGGGAAAGAGGACTCCTTTCCATTGAAACCGGTGCAAAGCTGCCGCCCGACGTGGATATAATGATCCCACACAAGCAAGCTGCACAGCATGCCATCGTCGCATGCGCAAGACCAAACCTCTTTCTGGAGGGGTGTCAAAGGACCCTACATACTCCACCACAAGGGGCCAGAAGAAACGTCTGTAGTCTTGCGTCATACGACAGGTAGACTGGCAGGGCCACCAGCGCAGAAATAGGCTGGGTCAATGGCCACATCAAAGCCAATTGATGATGCCTCGGCCATGTCCGTCCGGCAACACCCCTTAATGCATTGCTAAGCCAGCTTTGCTTCTCTTCCCATGAAAAGCCCTACATACCAGAGAACCATTCCAGGAGCACGGTCGAATTAAGGCTCCCCCGTGCGTTCGAAATGCTCACACCCCAAAACACGCGCGGACTGTGCCGGGAGCATGACTGAGTCCGGCAAGGTCCAACATGTGGACTATGGCAGGAACATGAGCTTTCGAGGCGGCAAGACTCATACCCAAAACTTCCAAAGCAGGATATCTGTGAAGGCGAAAACCATGAAAACTTCTATGAAAAACCCTATACCCTAAACCTTAAACCCTAAACCCTCAACCCGGCCCGTCGGACATGGCCGGCCAGGGAATGGATAGAAGGCTAGCAGGAGTCGAAAATGCGCACCACGCCACAGCCGAAGCCGCGACCCAACACCGGGGGGTGCGGGAACCGAGCCATCAACGTCCTAATCTGTCCGTACTCCCAACCTAAGAGCCGCACTGGGGAAGAAAAGACCAACCCCCGAACTTCAAGCTGTTTCGGCCTATCGGTTGACGTAATGCTCAAGTTGGGTCTCAGCATCTCAGCTCCCAGCATACTGCAGACCTTGCCGAGGCATTGCCGAACATGTTTTCCACGACATGAGCACCGACCGGTCGAGAGAGAGACAAGACAGCACCGAAATTCCAAGCAGGTCAAGCTGCGCGATGCTCTACCTGTAGGACCCTAGGAAGTCCCCACAAGCTGTTCTCTGGGGCGATGGCCAAGGGCCAGCACCAGCCCAAACGGCAGCAAGAAGCGCAGGACTGGGAGTGCTGTGCGAGAGCGTTCGCTTCACAACCCTGGCACTTTGCCTTGGCCTGGCTTCTCTGAAGTCCCCACAAGGCCCTCAGAACCCTGCAGCAGGACAAGAAATCTAAACACTTAAGCTTTCGCCCTCAGAGAGCCACGGCTGGGTGCTCTGACTCCGCAGCGGATTTGTCACGCTGAAGGGGTTCCACTCCGTGGACAACTGCGAGTTGCAGCATGAGCAGGCAGACTAGCAATGCCACGATCTGGCACAACGTTCTGCCTTGGCCACGTCCTGCTGCAAGATCAGCAGATAGAGTACTCCAAAGGCAACTCCAACCAGCCAGCCCTGAGTTCGCGGTGACAATGCGGCTTCGGATGCTTGTGGCAAGGGATGGTGTTGTTATCCACTGCCGGAGCCGGTCTGGATATGATGAAGCCAAACGATGGCTGAAGCATGCGCGTACAGCAGCTCACAGGCAAGTCTCACTTGGTACCACAACAGAAATGCTCGACACCTACAAGCCCGAGCCTCTGAAGCGTCCACTCCGTTGTTCAAGTAGGCCAACAGAGCACCTCCAAATCTGGCAGCAAAGTGCAGAAGCAGGCCCGACGATCGCACAGCTAGCTGCTGGCTGCTGCTAGCTCTTGGCTGCAGAATGCTGAAGCTCACATGCAAAATTCAACCCGAGGCGTCTGCACCGAGCAAGCCCGCTGCAGACGCATCGATCAAACTCTGTCGCTGCATCCGCTGATACCTCGTCGCGGCTGAAAGCGTTCATTCAGGCAAGTGGCGAAATGATTTCCACCCAACACCCGTCGACCCTCCCCCACCCTCTCTGCCCCAAGCCTGCAACATCATAGCCACACCAAACTCATATCAGATCAAAAGTCTGACCGGGTGCTATCTGGCATTGGGCTACATGCGGCTCGTGGGTGACCAAAACAAAATGCTGCACAGGCGCTCGGCCACACGCTTGGCCTTGCGGGCAGCTGCCACGACGGGGGCGCCTGAGATTGCTTCATCGCGACGGTTTCGTGCAATAAGTTGCGAACTCGGATACAGCCGTATTCGCTTGAAACATTAAAAACCTACAAGCAGCCATCAAACAGGCATTGCTCACCCGAGTACTTCCTCTTCTTACTCATGTAGGAAGTCTTTCAAACTCAGATCACACTGTAGAGCTGGGCTTGTCCGCGAGACGGACGCAGCCACCTGGAGCAGAGGCCCAGGGAGCGTCGAAACATCCCGCCACTTCGCGATAGGTCGCCTCTTCACCACCCTCCGGCAAGGCAGCTGCGCCTCTGGCCACGAAAGCCGGGTGGGATGTTTCGCTTCAAGCCCGAACCCTGGGTGCAAAGGACCCAGGCGCTAAGAAGGTCTCACCTACTGAAGCGGCATCACGACTGTGCGCAACTTCACGCCATCACGATTTTTATTGTTCCAAAGTCGTACAAGCCTCCAGAGCTTGGCAGCGTCCGACTTAGCGAGCGGCCAAGCCTGTGCGGAGGCTTGCGAATGCCAAGCAGAGGTCCTGCCGACGAACCTGTCCGCGGCTGCCTTTGTACAACACCCACGAGCAGATTTAAGCCATGCTCAATAGTCTTGACTGAAATGTTTTGGAGCACGCTGCCATCGGTGTGGAGAACGGCACAGCGTCCCTCGAGCACAAGGTGCAGAAGACTGGCAAAGGCTACCTCACTGGCTACCTCCATGCTGGCGTTGGTAGTTTCGGTTGCGATGCCGTCTGACTGCTGATGTACACACTTTCGTGAAGTTGCAAAGCGGTGGTTGATGTGAGGCACGGTTGTTGATGTGCAGCCACGAACTACTGTAGAAGATTTGCACGAGTCTCTCACAGAAGCTTCGCTGTGCCTCTGCCGAAAGGCGACAGCCGCGCCGAACAGTGCTCCGCCTGTCCAGTGAAGGGTCTGCGTGAGAAGTGCCCGAAACAATGCTAGTAAGTACCGACTTCAACAATTACTTGTGATCCCTGCAGGCTTGCAGTACGTCGACTGCGAAACTCGCAGGCCCCTGAAGCTCCAAGCAGGCCACCGACTGCGACATCCTGCGAGCCTCGAAACGGAAATCGGCCGGAGGGGCCTCCTGCAATCGGAGTCCAACGTCAGACCGTTTGGCCGAGGCATTGCCCTCGTCCGCGCTATCACCATCGCCATCACTTCTGACCCACCAGCACCAACGCCAGAAGCGGAGACCACCACCATCACCAGCATGAAAGTATAAGAAGGCCATCCTCGCCACGTGTCGCCACCGTCATCATCAGCGTCCGACACCACCAGCATCATTACGACACTCTTCTTCCTCCTGTTTCTAATACCCATGTTGCCTTGCTTCTTTTTGCAGTAACGTGATTGGGATTTGCAGAGCAGCTGCTGCTGCTGGTGCTACTCCTGCTCCTACTCATAGTCCTAGTCCTAGTCCTAGTCCTAGTCCTAGTCCTAGTCCTAGTCCTAGTCCTAGTCCAAGTCCAAGTCCAAGTCCAAGTCCTAGTCCTCCTACTACTACTACTACGACGACGACGACGACGACGACTAGTACTACTACTACTACTACTACTACTACTACTACTGGCCACCCCCACACCCCCCCCCCACCCAACTAACTGGCGCCTAAACACATCATCATCATCATCGCTGGTATTGGACTACAACATCACGAAAGTAATGTAAATACAGAATAAAATGGATGTGCTCTGAAAAAGTACGTCATCATGCTGCCACCCCATCCATTCCCCACCCTCCTTCCACCACCCCCAAAAAACTACAACATTACGAAAGTACTCTAAACTCTAAATATCGAAAGAAATGGATGTTCTCTACTACTACGACGACGACGACGACGACGACGACGACTACTACTACTACTACTCCTACTACTACTACTACTACTACTACTACTACTACTACGACTACCCCTACCACTAC